TGTAAAATTAAAAATATTTTGCCTCATTCTTCTGGCTGTCTTTTCACTGTCGTCATACTGTCCTTTAATGCCCCAAAGTTTAAAAATTTTAATAAAAATTACCTGTTTATTTACGTTTTTTTTTCCTGTTTTGGTGGCACATCTTAAGAATCCACTGCAAAAAGCCCAAATCATGAAAAACACGCATGTTTTGAGTGGTTTTTATGGTTATAGGTCTTTTTATGATTGTAGGAAGTTGCTCTGTTTTGAGTTACTTTTTGTATATGGTGTGAAATTGGGATGAACTTGCTCTTTTGCCAGGATCTCCAGTTGTTCTGGTGCCATTTGTAGAAGAGACTTAGTTTCCTCAATGACTGGTCTTGGCACATCGGTTGCAGTGCCAGCATCAAACCCAAGGCCTCATGCATGCAAGGCATGTGCTTTACTGAATCACATTCCAGCTATCTTGGCATTAAAACAAATTTAAAAAAATTTTAAAAAATTATTTTAGGCATTATGATTTACAATATTGATACTGGCTTTTTCATGCAAAAAAAAAAACAAAACTAACACCACACCACACAAGGGTCAACTTCCTTCCACCCCCATACCTGTGTCCTCCAACCCCCCCACCCCCCCAGTCCCTGTTCTCCCAGGGCCTCCACAGTAATATTCTTCCTACTAGAGCCAAATTCTCAGTTTCTGTTGTCCTGGAGTATTAGTTTATTTGCATGTAACTTTATATATGACACCCGAGAGAGATCATAGATCATTCTGTGTCTGTCCCTCTCCTGACTGGCTTTACCCAGCACGATACTCTCCAGATATATTTCAGGTAGCTGCATATTCCATGATTTTATCTTATCTTAGGGCCGAGTTGTATTCCATTGTGTGTATATGCCATAGTTTCTTTATGCAGTCATCTGTTCTTAGATACATAGTTTACTTCCAGATTTTGGCTATCATGTGTAGTCGCACACGAGAAAATGAATGTAGCGGTGCAAATGCTTTTCTGGAGAGTGTTTCGGGGCCCATGGGGTAAATGCCAAGAAGAGGAACTGCTGGATCAATATTTAGTTTTTTGAGGACTGTTCATATTGTTTTCCATATCTTGGCATTTTTATCTAAAATGGGTTGTAAAGGAGGTGACACTCCCAGCTGTGAGAACTTTGACAAATTATTTAATTTTGAGCTTCAGTGCTTGGAGTTACTCCTGGCTCGGTGCTGGGAGTTTGCTCCTCAGGGGACCGTATAGTACCAATGATTGAGCTCAGGCCTTATGCGTGCAAAGCGGCCTGCTGAGCTATCTCCCCAGCCCCTTAATTTTGACTTTTATTTTCTCATGTCAGTGATGAGGGAGATAATCTTTTCCAGAGCTGTAAGGTTGAAATGAGCTTGCAGAGTTACCCTACATCCCGACACATAGCTCTCCAGTGAACTTAATTCTTCCTTCACTGTAAGAAATGGAGGCAGGGTAAACAGGGTCCTATCTGTCACCTCTGTTCCCTCTCTTTCTTGTCCTTAGGACACAGGAGACTCTGGGATGGGGAAATGCCTCATTCTGCTTGACCATTTGCCGCTTATCTGCTCTCACCCCTGAACACTGTCAGTGATGGGGGGAAGGTCACAAGAGAATAAAGATGCTATGTAGGAGTTGAGGTCAGCAAATGCAGGGAAGGTCTTTCATAACTTTTTTTAAAAATATTTTTTAAAATTATTTTTATTTTTTTGCTTTTTTGGGTCACACCCGGCGATGCACAGGGGTTCCTCCTGGCTCTGCACTCGGGAGTTACTCCTGGCGGTGCTCAGGGGATCATATGGGATGCTGGGAATCGAACCCGGGTCGGCCGCATGCAAGGCAAATGCCCTACCCGCTGTGCCATCTCTCCAGCCCCATGTCTTTCATAACTTTATTGGCAGGTAAAGAAACGGATAGGCAGACTGGTCAAGAGGTACTTAGAGGAACGGTCAGAGAAGTACTTCTGAGACAATCGAAGCAGAGATTGTTGTGGGTGTACAGAGCGGAGGTAATGCTAACCTGAGGATTTGGACAGCTTCTGGGACAAGCGTGTTAAACAACGTCCCAGGAAGGAAGATGGTGGCATGGGAAATGGTGCCATTTGAACAGGGAGCCGACTGCTCTGGATCTGTGTTCGGATCGCTACTGCAGAGGTTTATAGGAAGGTGTGTATGGAAAATGAATGACTGGGAAGGAAACTCGGTGAGAGGCAAGAGGGATAATTGGGAAGAAGTCCGATCTTGCAGATGGAGAAGAAGGGGTATACGGGGTGGATTTATGGCAAATCAGATATGGGAATGTGGGCAAGGAGGGGCCTCTGAGCATCCTCAGGTTTCTGATTCATGCACTGACCCAGGGGTTATTCAAGCAACTAGGGATACGGCAGTAAGGAGCAAAGCAAGAGAGGCGAAAATGATGTTTGCTTCTACAGACAGATTGCGATAGAGATATCCATCCTGTCAGAGACTTCATGGGGTGGAGAGCAAGAGACAGTCGGGTCCCTGGGTTATAGGAACAAGCACACATTGTTTTCTGGCCTGCTAAGAGAGCAAACGAGGTTTATTTGTTTTGTTCTTGACAGTGAAAATATTAACGAGTTTATTTTAATACTGAAAGCATAAAGAAAAAATAATTCAATCCATAATCCCACCGCTCAAATAACTTTGTTGAAAGGGAGGGAGGATAATAGAGTGGATACAAAATACACACAGTTCAGAAAAACTTACCATGGAAAGTTCAGGCCTCCCCGCAGTCCTGCGTTCCCTTAGCCACTGTTAACACTTTCTTGTATTTCCTTTCAGGAAAAAAGTGCAGCTCCCCCCTGGATTCTGAATATGCCCAAAGGGAGGCTGCCACACAGTGTTTAAGAGGCCTGGCTTATTGAGCAGAGTAACCTTGTTGCTTCTCCAGGCTCCTTGGCCCCATCTGCCCCTCGACCCCAGTAAGGGCCCTGTGCAGGGAAAGGGGGTTTGCATGTTCCTCCTCAGGCCGGGAGCTGATTTGGAACGGTGAACCCTAAAGAAAGAAATGGATGGAGGTGACTGTGTCTTGGGAAGTTGCAGAGCTTTTGCCTGTGGTCTCTGGTGGTTAAATCCTCAACAAACGTTTTCAGAGTCCTGCCCTATGCAGGGTTGGGGAATGGGACAGAGGCCCCTCCCCCACCATCCTTTTTTTTTTTTTTTTTGGTTTGTTTTTGGGCAACATCAGGTATGCTCAGAGCTTACTCCCTGCTCTACACTCAGGGATCACTCCTTACAGGCTCAGGGAACCGTCTGGGGAGGCGGGGACTGAACCCCAGTTGGCCGTTTGCAAGGCAAGTGCCCCACTGGCTGTACTATAGCTGCGGCCAGATGCCTCCTCTTGCCCTCACTGGAGGGCAGAACTTAGAAGGCCAGTGATCTAGCTCTCGGAGGGCCAGGAGGGCCAGCGGAGACCCAGAGGGGGTCAGATTTGCCTAGAGTCACATGGCCTGTTGGAGGTGGAGTCAGCGTTGGCCTTGGGAAGACCAGGGAGGAAGGGGAGGAGCTCATGTCCCACAGGTGGATGGAAAAGTTACTGGCTACTCTCACTCCTTCCTGCCCCTCCCTTCTGCCCAGCAGTCCTGTCTCCTTGTCCCCGCCGAGCCCGTGAGATGCCCTAGACCCTTGGCTTGCGCTCAAGGGACAGTGATTGCTGCCATCAGGTACCTATTTCCCTCAACTGGCCAACCCAGACTACAGAGCGAGGGAGTCAGGCCTGGCCCCCAGGGCAGTTATTCTGGAAGACCCCACCATTAAGGAAGTCCCCGTCTCCTCAGATAGTGGCTTGTGACTCACCAGGGTCTTCCCTTAATTGCTCTTGTGACAAACTTTACTTAATGATAAATCGGGTCTTAGGTTCTAAAATCCTGAGTTTCCCTCCCTTGACCCCTGAGGTTGCTGCCTGGGTCTCTTGCTGTGCAGAATGGTGCTGCTAGACTGAGCTGTGTGATTGGAGACCAGGTCCTCACCCGCAGGCTCCCAGCCCCAGCGCACAGGCCCCTTCGGAGACTGGAAGGATGTCCAGTAACCCCGGCCCATGGACAGCCTCGGTCCACACCGGAAGAACCCTGGGGCCCAGTGAAGGGAGCCGAGGAGCTGCTTTGGGCCCCAGGCAGCCACTGCTCCTGGTACACACGGGTCAGTGCTTCCCGCGCATTCCAGGCCTGACCGAGGAACTGGGCCGGGGGGTCTCAAGCCCCTGGACAGCAAGGATCTGTTGGCACGCGACAAAGCTGGACTCTGGGGCCCCACTCCCCAGCAGAGTTACAGAGTCCACTGGAATCCTTTCTTTCTACTCTGGATCCGGGCATCTGTTTTTGTTTGTTTGTCTTTTAACTTCGGAGTCTGAGAACGTCTAGCCTGGACTCTTTCCAGGGGGAAAAGAAAACACGAAAAACGAGAGAAGTGCTCTGAGAGCCCTCGCTCCTGCGCCCCTCCCACCCCCCACCCCGAGGCCGCCGGCCCGCGCTGATCAAAGGCGTTTCTAGAGAGCCGGTTGCTTTCTGCAAAGGAATCGTGAAAACACGCTGTTAACCGGGGCAGGTTTCGCCCGTCACGTTTGACGAGCGCCAAAGGGACCCGGAGAGGGCAAGGGGGACCGTCCAGGGCCACAGGGAGAGGCGGGCACGGAGCTGGGGGTGAGTCAGGCTGCCGAACGTCCCTTGCGCCCCGCCGCGACGGCCAGTCCCGCGGGCACCACGGTCCTGGGCTCTGCTGCCCGCCCGGGCGCCGCCCTGCGGGGCAGCCGGGCTCGGCCGCCCGCGTCCAGCGGGCTGCGCGGAGCTCGGCGGCCGCCGCCTGTCAAACCCCGGCCGGGCGCGCTGCCGGCCCCGCCCCGGCCCCCAGCGCGCGGCCCCGCCCCCGCGCCGCGATTGGCTGCGGCGAGGCAGCCGCCGCGCGCCAGTGGCCAGAGCGGCTGTCGCGCAGGCCGAGGCCCCGCCCCCGCCCCCCGGGGTGCCGCCCGGCTGGACGCGGCGGCGGCGGCGGCGGCTGCGGCTGCGGGGGCTGCGGCGCCAGTGGAGGCGCGCGGAGCTGTGGACCCCGCGAGCAGCAGCAGCTGCGGCCAGGTGAGAGGGGGCGCGACCCGGGGAGCCGGGGGCGGGCGCGCGGGGGCGGCGGGACCCCTTGTGCGAGGCTGCCGCGTCCAGGTTCTAACCCCGGGAGCCTTCGGATGCTTGCGGGGAGCCTCGGGGTTGGAGGCGCGTCGGTGCCCCCCGCCCCACCGCGCGCCCTGGTTCCGGGGGTCCGTGGCCGGGCCGGGACCTGCGAGGGGCGCCCAGAGCTGCGGGGTGCGGAGCGCGCGGCCCGGCCCGAGTGAGCGGGTGAATGAGAGTGCAGAATGAGTGGCACGTCGTGGCCCCGGGCGCGCGTGTGCGCGGGGTGCGCGCGGGAGTCGGCGCCCGACGGGGCTGCGCGGGCGCTCGGTCCCCTGTCCCCGCCGCGCGCGGGCGCGGGTCCCGGCGCGCGAGGGACGCGTGTGCGTGGCGGCGGGGAGCATCTCGCCCCCCGATTTCTCGCCCGATCGCCTGGCTCTGGGCGAGGGGGGAGGCTCGTGGGTGACTCTCGGGGGCGGGGCGGGGATCCGCGCCCCGGGTCCCGCGTGGGCTCCCCGGGGGCGCGCGACCCGCACCCTGCTGTGTGCTGTCTGGGCGCCCGCGCGGGCGCCGCGTCTCCCTGGGAGACGCCGGGCAGAGGCGCGCTCCGCGCTCGCGACCTCAGTTTCCCCCTTCGTGCGAAGAGGGTCGGGCTCGCGGAGGGGGCGCGGCGGCGGCGGCGGGAGGAAGCGGTGCGAGCCGAGGAAGGGGCTTTTCTGCGCGGCACCAGGGGGGTCGTCGGGCTCGGCCGGTCGGGGCGCGGGCCGACCCGTGGGAGAGTCGGGGGGCGCGGGAGCGACCCGCGCGGGATGCGGCGCGCGGACGGGCCGCTTCCCTCTAACGCGCCCGTGCTGTCCCTCCCCCCAGGAGCCCGGCGCGCCCCCCGGCGCCATGCACTGCGAGGTGGCCGAGGCGCCCTCGGACAAGCGGCCCCCGGAGGCCCCCGGCGCCCCGGCGCCCGGCCGCGGGGCCCTCGGCGCGCACATGGCCTTCAGGGTCGCGGGCGGCGGCGGCGGCGGCTGCGGGGACGCGGCCCCGCGCGAGCTGCTGGCCCGGCCGCCCGCGCCGCCGCCGCGCGCCCACGACCTCCTGCGGCCCCGGAGCCCCCGAGACTACGGCGCGACCAAGGCCACCGTCCCCGGCAAGGGTGAGTGTGGGGTGGCCGGCGCGCGCGCGGGCGGCGGGCGGAGTGCGGCGCGCCCCCCGGGCCTCAGTTTCCCGCTCGGCTCCCCGCCTCCGGGCTCCTCGGGTTTGGCCAAAGGGCCAGTTTGGGAATCCTCTCCTGGAAACGCGGCGAAGCGCTCGCTCGCTCGCTCGCAGGGAAGTGCGCGGCCAGCAAGCGGGGGACAGAAGTGAGCGCGTCCAGGTTGCTGATGAAAAGTGGTGTGAGACGCGTGAAATGATGCGGATTGTAAAGCAGAACTCGCTAACTGCAGCTCAGGTGGCTGCTCGCCTCCCCGCTAGGCTGGAGGCTGGTTCCTTCCCGGCCGTGTCCAGTCTCTCCAGATAACAAAAAGCAGAGACCTTGCACAAGACCCGCTCGGGAGGTTAGCTCCCCCATTTATCAAGGTCGGAATTAATTCTACCGGATTATTTCTGGGTTCCCGATGGAAAAATTTACGAGTCTCTAATCTAGACGGAGTCAAGCCCTGACTTGGAGAAGTCGTCATGTTCAGAGAAGCTTGGGGTCCTGCCACAGTCACTTGGGGTGCTCTGCTGCTACCCAAGAGAGCCTGTGGGGATAAGGTGCAGCCCCCCTAGAAGTTCGTGGGCTCATGAGGTGGCAACATTCTCTTGAGCATGTTCTTATCACAGCTAATGGTTATTCAATCATTAAGAGTTTCACACTGACAGATATTAGCCAAAAATTGGGGAAATTGTTAAGGTGCTACTGTCTCCCTCCTCCTTACCCGCCCCCCCAACCCCCCAAAAAACCCCTGGGGATTTTTATTATCCCCAAAACCCTTGGGACCCCTTAGTTCTGCTACAAAGGTTTCCCAAGGAAGACAAAACCAGTTTTATGATTTTATAAGCATCAGGCCTATAGCATCAAACCCAGCAACTCACAAACACTAGGATTTTTGTGAAGGGTGTGTGTGTGTGTGTGTGTGTGTGTGTGTGAGAGAGAGAGAGAGAGAGAGAGAGAGAGAGAGAGAGAGAGAGACAGAGACAGAGACACAGAGAGACAGAGAGACAGACAGAGGAGGGAGAGACCGCTGAGTAAAAAATCATAACCATCAGTGTCCTTTGGAGACTGGGAAATGAAATAAACACAGGATGGGTTTTTTGTTTGATTGTTTATGTTTTAATGGGAACACCTGACTTTCTAGAAAATGACTGTTTGTCTCACTGGTTTTGCTTTGGGTGTTGGGGATGGAGCCCGAGGCTTAGCCATGCGAAGTAGGTGCTCAGCCACTGACCTTGATCCTCCCTTCTCACTCCTCTCATGTTGTTTTTAATGTTTGCTGCTTTCTGGAAGAGATAGAGACCATGCTGAAAGCGGGAGGTGCAGGAAAACCGTCCTTGGAGTGTTATTGTCACAGTCCTCTAGGAAGTTCTCTCTTGTTGGGAAGGAGTGTTCTGCACGGGGCTGTGTTCCCTGGCTCCTCTAGGTGCCCCCGCTGCAGCGTTCTTGCATTTGAAAACCTGAGGGCTGTCACCTGAGGACAAGCTGCTTTCAGATCTCAGATGCATCGCACTAGCAAGTGCCTTATGTTAGAGACCCTTGGTTCGTGGCATAGTTTGTGCAAGATCTTCCAATTTTCATCCCAGTTATTCCTCCACACACAGTTATTTTTAACCCCACCCCTTCACCTCCTTTCTCTCACCCTTTCCCCAAACCCGAGGTCTTTAAATCCAGATTGTATTTGGATAGGGCAGCAGAGGAGGAGGGAGGGGTGAAAGAGGAACCTCTTTATTTTGTACCTAAGGAGGGTTTTCTTCCCCACCTCTGGGCAGAGCTGGTAGGTTGGATTTGTCATACCCATTTGGTAGGTGAGGAGACTGAGGCCAGGGTGCTAAGAAAGAGACTCTTCTATACAAGGCCGCTCAGCAGGTCTGGGCGGTGTCTTTGGGCTTTGGCCATGGACCTGGGTTGAGGGTTTAGGGAGCCCGCCTCTGTGCTACAAGGCGACTTCTTTGTTATCAGCTCAGAACCATGGGTTGGGACCAACCTGGCTTCCCAGCATTTTAGCGGCTCTCTTAGATGCGCCTCCCCCATCCTCAACCCTCCCCCCCCATCACTTCCCCAGAGGAAACAGCACCTACTTACTGCCCGACCACGCACCGCCTTGAATGCTTGGTGTCTAGCTCGGAGTTGTAGGCTTATTGGAAACAGACAGAAATACCGATTGAAAAATATTTATTGACTGTGCTGGAAATCGTGAGACCCGGCCCCTTCTAATCTGTGGGCCTTGGGAGGAAATGATTTCCCTCTCGGAGCCTTCGTTTCCTCATTTCTGAAAGACTGAGATTGACTGTGAAAGCGAGCGCGGGCAGAGGCTGGGTCATCCTGCAGATGGTGATGGTCATGTGCTCAGTGCGCTCCGCCCAAGGCCTTCCCTTGGCACGAGAGGTGAGCTTGCCCACCACCCTCGCCCATGAGACGGGGTGCAAGAGTGCTTTCCTCACCAAAGAGAAGGAAGATGCGTGGCCAGGACATCCCGTAGGCCACAATGCTGGGGTCAAGTGACACGGAGAGAAAAGGGGCGTGAGCTGGACCACAAAGCTGGACCCCAGACTCCAGGCCCCTGTGGGCCCTATTGCCCAGCGACAGGAGTGCCTTTCAGTCTGGGGGACCAGGTGCCAGGCGTTCTGCCTTTGGCCGACAGACACCCTCCACCCGCCCCCCCCCCCCCCCCCGCCACCCCAGTGCCCTGGCTGCTGAGATAGGCAGCGAGCCCTTAACAACGCAGCTTGTCTGTAAATGTCGGGGTCCTCTTGTGTCTGCAGATCCGGAGGCCTGGGGGGCCATGCGGCGTCGTGGACCAGCATTGTCATCATTTACAATAAGAATCATGATCTGTTTATGGCAAAGTCCCGTGTATCCAGCTTCCAAGCAGCTGGGGAGGCCATGTTCCCAGATGCTGCGTTTTCCTTTCTTATTAAACCCCCACCCTGCTTTTGGGAGTCCTGACAGCAGAGGAAGGTGGGCATGGGGGCTGCGTGGAGGCGGGCCAGATCCGGGCACGGCGCTTAACAACAGTTGTTAACGTGTGTCCCACACATGGCCTCCACCCGCCCACCTAGCGGGCTGCCCCAAGGAGCAGAGGGCCGGTGCTCTGCAGGCAGGCAGGTGCCGAGCTCTCGGGCTCTCAGTCCCGTGAGCTCCTTCCTCTCCTTGGATGCAGAGTCGTTACCGCCTAGCTCTGTTCCGAGCTGCACGCAGAAACGGGCAGTTTCCCAGGCTTTGCTGGCCCAAATAGTTGACCCTCGTCCCACAGCCCATACTCTGAATATACCTTTCTGTCTGTTGGTGATGGCCGAAAATCTGTGGGTTTGCGACCTCCTCCTGAGAATTGAATATAGATTTGTTTTGGGTATTTCTTCGGTCTCAAATCTGGGGAGACCGATAACTAGGGTCTGTGACCTAGTTAGGGACTCCGAGTTGACCTGATGATTCTGCTTGTTCCACGCTGCTGTGCCAGCCCAGGCTGCTTCACGGGTCCCCCGATGCCAGCCGGCGGCAGGCCCTCTGTGTCCGGTGCCCACACAGCTCTGGCGTCCTTGCAGCGAGGGGCAGGAAGAATGTCCGCTCTCCCGGGAGCCCACAGTTGTCAAAGCTGGCCTATAAGTGTCCCAAAGCAGTCATTTTATACTTTAAAAAATAGCTAGGATGCATGTCTATTTTTTGTCTTTAAAAAAAGAAAACAGTTGTAAGCTGTACGCATGGGTGTTAGGGGCGGGTCAGTCATGGTGGTTTGGTGGCATTGCTGGGTTTCTTCATCTGAAAAGCAGCCCCTGGGATGTTCTGGGGGAGACTTCGCTGGCTTAGCGGCGGCGTGCTCTACGGCCGCCCGAGAAAGGTAGGAGTCATTTTAAAAAGGCCTGTGCCCCCCTCCGGCTCTGGTGGGCAATTTGCTTACATTTCATCCATTTTAAAGTGCTGGTCCTATGATCCGGAAATAATCAGATCCAAATTCCACCCCCCCCCCTTTGGTGCTTGAGGTTTCAAATAAGGGGGAGAAAAACCTGCTAGCCAAATGTCAGCCCAGCGAGACAAAGAAACGAGTGCCTGTGGGGATACAAATAAGATAGGAGCCTGTTGCGTCTACGATCGCGAGAGTCATGAGGCCGACAAATCTTTTATAGACGTGTAGCGGAAATCTAATTCCCAAAGATTCCCGAAGAATCTTATGCGGCTAGAATTTCTCTCCCCTTCCTGTCTCCCAAGCAAGCGAGAAGCTGCTGAGACTTGACGGGTGGCTGGGAGGGGGCGCAGAGGGTGGGAAGGGAAACTTCACTGAGGCCTTGGTGGTGTCGGACCGGGTTTACCTGCAGCCTTGCGTGCTGGGCGGCTTATCTCAGACCCCCCTGAGCCACGGAATCACTATTGCTACTCTGTGTTGCCCCATCTGTGATTCTCAAATGTACTTTTAAGGTTTTCAAGTGTGTGGTTTTCCCCTCCCCAGGTCTCTTTCTCAAACCAAAACCAACCCCCCGAGCCCACCCCATCTTTGAGGTCTCCTCACTTCGCATTACGTGTGCGTGAGAGGCTGAGCGAGCCGACGCACTTATTTTTACAGCGCGTTAAAATCCCATTACAGGCATAAGTGCACAATGAATCATTTAAAAAAATATATTCTTATGTTCTTTGTTCTGAATGTTGCATAATTATCATCATTTTCTTCGGTTTTATTTTGTGGAGTTTGGCCAGCATCCTAGAAAAGGGGAGAAACTAAAGTTTGGAATAGGGTTTTCAATCCTTTTTTGGATAGGATAGGATTAAGGGGGGGAGTTGGAAAAAAAAGCACAAATAAATACCAACTTTATTTGCAAGTTGACTGGTGAGTGTCACTTCACTGCAGTTTTTGTATAGAGAGGATTCTTTCTTTCCTTTCTTGCAGTTTTTTGGGAAAAGAATTTGGAAGCTAAAATGGGGGTATTTCAACAACCCCACCTTCTATAGATAATTTTATTGAAAGGTAA